TTTTGTAAGGACTTTTCCCGGAGAATAAAGAAAGACTTATCATTAATGCCATCACAATGCTCATTGCTCACGAAGGTATTGTATATCTTTGCCAATAAATATATTTAGTGTTCACCCCTAAAATATACATATTCTGACTGCTATTACCTTCACAGGTATTCAATATATACATAAAATAGTTAAAATGTTCGTCTATTTGCAGGAGACCAAAACAAAATATCAGATAAAGATCTCGAAGCACTGTTTCACGCTTTGAGACATTAGGTTGGATCCAAAGCAGGTTTCACAACGCTCAGTAGGTGAGAAACGTTTATCTTTAACCATAACACACGCCTGTTTACTCAACCAGCTCACTTTCTCTAGACCGTGTTTCTGTTTTGTTTTTACAGCTTCTATGAGAAGGTTGGTGTGAAAACTGTGAAAGCTTTGAAGAGGAATAATGAAGCCGTGACTCACGCCGCTGTCGACATACTGTGTGCTCTGATGCAGGTAAAGAGAGGGCTTTCCTTTAAGCGGCCAAAATGGTCAGACCGGTCATATTTAAATTTAAAATAGAGTATTTCGTTAAGAATATAGTTGCGAAATTTCCGAGCTAGACAGATGCAAGTAACGATATACTTGAACGCAGAGTTCTTGAAACACTCTAAAATACCAGTAATCTGTCTGTACCGAGATCAACAATAGGACCGGTCTGGCCGTTTTTTCCGTATAAAGGAAAGCGCCAACACTTTAACGATGAATTTCCTGGTAATATGTTGCCAAATCTGTCACTGTCATTAGTGTTACCCCTTTAACTTGCAATCCACATAAACTCAGCCAACTTTGAAATCTGAATGTTAACAGGATCCAATTTTATCGAAACCAATTCTGTTTTTTTATATAGCCAACGCACGATAACTATGACATTCGACAAGAACAGTAAAAAAAGCTCTTTGTTATCCTCTGAAAAATTTCTAAGCAGTTTGTTGGAAATTCTCACGATAAATGTTGTAAGATGTGCGGTGTTGGTTGCCTATAATCTATGCTGAACCCTTGCATTTTTTTTTCCATCCCTCTTGTATGTATATAGCTTTGTTTTGGAAGAGAAATTCCCTTGCAAAACCCAGCAAGTGATTCGTAGCAACTGCCTTTCTAATTTGAACTACCTTTCTAACTAAACACAAGAAATAGATTAACCATGAAAACTTTTCTTCTATATTCGTTCTACTGGGGTTTTAGTTATAAGTGGATTGCTTGATTTTCTGACGTTTGCTCTGTGTCCTCCTTACAGGTTTGTTCTAGTTGCTTTGCAATATATTAAAATAATACGGGGGTGAAGTTGGACATTCATGTTAAACTAATAGTAAGGTGTGATTGCTTCCAATATTTTGAATCAACTCATGTAGTCTGTTACAATAAATCGACTATTGCATATTCCTCTTAGTGAGACAACAGATGATGAACAGTTTGGGAAATTACTGGAGAAAGTTGCAGGTATGCTACAAAGAAATTTGAGGAGCTTTTCATTCAACTTGTCTTCTTGGTAGTTTATGGCTCTTTGACTGAGGTTGAGAGTTGATTAAATAGCCTTTCTCTCTTTACCTTTTTGGTGAAGTTTACCACGTCCACTAGCTTGACCCATGCATAGGAGCAACTCATGAAGTCTGTTATTTGTTTGTCTAGAAATGGGTCATTGCATTTATCGATTGTTCCAGGTAGGTTTACGACAAAACTAAATAATAGTACCAATTTTACCATTTCTTCGCTTATGTATGTTTTACTATTGCCCCGCTAATGGTTCTTACCAATCGTGGTTTTGAATTCGTTCCTCAACAATTTCAGCATCCGTCGACAACAATTGTGAAAGGTGCTGGCATGGTTCTGAAGGCGATAATCGAGGTACGTTTTATTCATTCATTCATCCATTGAGAATTTTCTGCCTTTGACGAACGTCATTTATAACGCTCTGCATTTTTTTAGCCGTGATGAATGTACATATTAGTTCAGTTGATATTTAAGAGGTTTTAAAGGGTCTTAATTTTGAGAGGTATTATACACACTTCAAATCAAGCCAGGAACAGATGACGGAAAAATGAGTGAACTATAGATCCTCCGGCAGGAATCGAACCTACGCTTTTGCGATGCCGGTGCAATGCTCTTGTCACTGAGACGTACAGTTGACTCATTTTTCCATCAACTGTTCCCTGCTTGAATTTGAAGTGCGTATAATACCACTCGAAATTAAGACCCTTTAAAACCTCAAGAATATTCCTGCATCGTGTGAAGTGCCTAAAATCATCTGTTAATATTTAGTTAGAACTTCACTTTAGGAAGCTGATGAAGAAACCGCGGCAAAAATACAAGTTCTGGCGCTTGCCGAGGGCGCTCTACCAAAACGCTTACGCATGGCCATGTTTACGCAAAGCACTGATAACGTTCGCTATTGAACAGGTGCGAATTAGTGTGATAAATTAACAAATTGTTGCAGAGGTATAGCCTCTATTCCATCCGCAGGACCTGAGTTGTATTTTAGCAACATTCTCAGATTCATCTTAAAACTTGTGATTTTATAATCCTCTATATACTAGCCATCTGTAAATAGTTCAATTGAGACTAACAAGCATACTCCATAAGTTTTATAATCATTATTGTTGGCATAGCATCATCCAACAGCAATGGCATTACTTGCGAGAATAATGTTCGTATTAAAGTAGTTATAGTTTTAATGTCTAAAATATACAAGAAAGTTTAAATGCGAGATTTCCTGTTCATAATTTTTGGTTCATAAACAATTATGTAATAAATTTGAATACGATTTTCACAGCCTGCTGGTTTGCTCTATTACCTTGAAAGCCCTGACGAAGTAAGAAATCTTTGAAAACTTTTTTGCGAGGGCCATTATTTACATAAACCCATTGAGGTGATTCTGACTAACCAATCGTATTCATGACTAAGTGGTATCAACTGCTTTGGTAACTAAACTCCATCATTCATCCTTAAACTGTGCCAACTGCCCCACTGAGGAAATAATTAAATGGTAATTCATTCAGAAGTGTAAAACCTTTTTGTAAAGAAACAATTTTGTTGGAAAGTTTTTATCTTTCCTTCAGCCACCAGAGACTGAAGAAGATCGTTTATCAATTCGTGACAATGTAAAGCTTGCAGAAGTACGTTTTAAATCAACAATCGTGTTCCAAAATTTCATAATGCATGCTTGCATGTACGTATAAGCCTGTTATTTCACGTGCTATACTTGTGTCTTAGAGCTCTGGAAAAACGAGGGGAACGTTGAGGAATCAACTTGAAGGATATCTCTCGCATTGGAGGACAAAAATAGGATTCAAATCCAGGAAAGATGTGAGAATTTAAATCCAGTTTTTTTATTACAAGTAAGTGTTCGTATTAAGAAAATGGGAAAATGTTTAGTCGTTTGAAAGATGAAAAAGCAATGATATTTAAGCGGATCTTTTTTACAGATTCAGTCAAGATCTGACAGCGTACAACCTGATTTGGAATTACAAGGTGAGTCTCGAAGTTAAGGTTAGTTTCCGTTGAAAATATAGGATATGGAAATGTAATGGAGGATTTCCTGTCGCTATGAGTATAACAAGACAAATTCAATAGTCCTGACCTCTTTCTCTAAACTGTTCTCGTAAAAGAGTATGAAACAATTTCTTATGTTTTCAATGTGACAGACGCGAGAGGAACTTCTGGGGCACTCGAATCTGATTTGCACGCATTTGCAATGGAAAAAGATCTGAGTGGAAACTACGTTGTCTTTTGGAATCACCTTTAGTTTGAAGTCCTGTATGAATGTTTAGCTGATGAACTGAAACAGGTTAGTGATAAGCCTAACTGCTCTAGCTTTTTAACAGTTCTTCATAAAGCGTCCCCCCCTTATTCCTCGATAGGAATCAAACTCAGTAACGTATCTCTGCTATCAGGTGACTATTATTTGAGAGTCTTGTTGGAACAAAACGACGAGGAGACGCCGATAACAAATGTGTGAGTCCACGACATTTATCTATCAGGGTTTGCAAATATTCAAACTACTTTCCATGTGCTTTTCTGTCTGGCTTCCCCCTATTCTCTATATTGCTGCACAGTTCACGCAATGTTATTTGTCCTGCAGAATGTAGTAGAGAAGTATAGAATCATGGATGAAACCATTCAAGATTCGATCGACTTTTCTATTTTGTTTTCAGGCTCGAGTTGTCTAACGATCTGTATCACTGATTCCTATTGACAACTAAACCAACTATGAAAGCAATGTGCCTTCAGGTGAGGATGTCGTTTAGCGGGAATGTAGCCATGTGTAGCCTTCGAAGAATGAATTAAACAAATTGGAATATTTCATTCACAGGCGATGACTAAAGTTTATGGAAAATATCACGAAGAGATTGGAGCTTTTAATGACACCAAGCTAAGGATCATCTGTTTTGATCCAGTGTTACTGCAGGAGCCTGAACTAAACTAACTTTATTCATACTGTTTCGTATTTTTAGCATTTACATGAAAATGGCATCACTAACAGGGATTGGAAGGTAAGCACGCCCTAATTTTTTTTCACTACTGTCTTTATATCCTAAACTTTAACGACCATAATTTAACTTTTTCTTCTTAGCCAGAAAATGTTTTATTGTGTTCCTCGTATGACGAAACGCTTATAAAGGTTTGTGTCGGTTGTGTATTGAACTTGTGTTTAAATTGCCCTTTAAATTGTCTTTGAAGAAACCATTCGATGTGACCATTGCCAGCAAATCCTGGAAGTCACTATAATCTCAATTCCGAGTTTTGTCCGTGATTTCGTTTTACGAAAGCAGAGCGCATTCTGCAAACGTTTTAGGTTCAGTTATTTCTCATTGTTACAGTTTCTCAATGATAACAATTAATTTTTTAGATCAGAATTCCTATATGGAAACATCTGTGGTACACCAAGTTACCTCGCTACCAAAATGTTAATCCCGTAGCCTGAAGAACGATCCTACAAGAAATCGTGTGACTGCTGGAGCCTGTTATACTATATGTTTGGTATGCCATATACTTCAGTTTACTCAAATTCACGTAGTGAACACGATTTGTAATGAAGCTGGAGGTAGCTTAACCTCATTTCAAAATTGGAGTACGTCAATGAAAAGTTAACGTCTTTTAGACTTTCCGGATCTTCTTTATTTTCAAAGCAGGCAAATAACCCATTGGAGAAACAAGTCAAAGAAGGGTCGTATAAATTTCCGAACAACCTCTGGAAGAATGTTAGCAGTGAAGCTAAGGATCTTATAACAAAACTGCTTACTGTTGGTCACAGAAAATGCATCACGGTTTCAGAAGCTCTGGAACATCCTTGGATGAAGGTGATGATGAAATTACTAACCGCCTTATAACACCCCGCATCTAAGATTTTTCAAAATCGGCTGACCTTTTTCGTCTGAAGTCCCAGCTTTTTCGAATTGTTAGAATTAGTTTGGTTGAAGTTTAGAACTGATACAGCTATCCAGCATAAATAAAGTCAGTTTAGTTCAGGTTTCCTCCTGTAGTAACACTGCATCAATACGGGATGACCCCTACTGGACCTCCATGAAGGACAATTTAGAACTGAGAACTATACGGTATAAATAAAATTAGTTCAGTTAGGAGAGAAAGCTTTTAAAAGTGTTAGATTGATCCACGATTTAACAAGTTTTTTTGTCTTTTGTAGGATAAAGAAATGATAGAAAAAGCAGAAAAAATGATAAAACCGACCGTGGATGGAAGATCAATGTCTCCGCCCTTATAAAAGGTATGTTGAAAACTACGATACTTGTCCCGTTCTTCCGTCCAATGACCCTTATTTTCAACTCGCAATTGCAATGAAACATTACATGTTTGCAAGTTACATCGAAATTTAACCAGCTTTCCGAAACAATCTCAAGGCGCTGTTACACTACGCAACTTTCCTTGCAAATTGCAAAACCATTCTACTCCTGAGGCATCTAAAGTTGTCAAATACGAACATCTATTACGATCTGCTAACGTTTCCTTAGTATTTCGAACACTCTTTACAAATTAACATCCTTCGGAATTATAATTGCATTGCAAGTTGTAAGGAAAATTGCATATTGTATAGTAGCGCCTTCAGTAAAGTTGAAAACTCACCGTGCAATGAAACATTGCATGTCGGCAAGTTAAAAGGCAGAAAATAACTGTCACCGTACATGGTGAAGACTGGCCGACGGTCACGTTCGGCAGACGAGGCTCTGCGAGCAAAAAATACTCAGTGGCGAAGCCAGCACGACAGTTTAGCAGCATGACTGAAAATGCTTCATGTAAGATCACATCACTAGTTATTCCGATAAATAAAAGAACAGGGGCCGGTTGTTCGAAAGGTGGATAAGTCGCTATCCAACGGATAACTCACTATCCAACGGATAAGTTTTATCCAGCGTGTGATTTGGGTTGCACGAAGCTTGTATAACTTTAACCAGAGGATAAAAATCGCTATCTACCGGATAAATTTATCCAAGGTCCGGAGGTGGTTTAAATCCACTATCCAGTGGATAAATTCAAAGATACAAGGTAACACTGTAAACATTTATATAAAATAGGACAAAAATGCAATATTCCTCTTACTGTGTTTCAACAAACTAATACACATCATGATTGTATTCACTATATATTAAAAATGTTTTCGAAGTGCAATTTGTCGCAGCAGCGTTTCACGTTGCCTACACATTCCGTTCGACCGGCGATTTTTTGGACATCCTCGCATTTATAACAGGTGGTAAATTTACTATACGCTTCTAATCAGTTTATAAACGCGAATATGCAAAGAAAGATTCAACCTATTCCAAGGAAACTTGCTAATATCTAAGTAATTTCATTCACGAACATTAAAATAGTGTTTCTAAATTTGCTATGGACCGAAAGGCAAAGCGTTGCAAGGTCAAGGAATAAAATTGCAATGTGTTTAATTAATAAAATCACTATGATGTGAAGTGCAAAGTTCGAGCAAATCACTTGTTCAAGTCTTTTCCATTCAGTAACTATACTCGAGAATTCGTAATGATTATGAATTCAATGTTGTAAATGCTTAGCAACAGCTGACGTTGTGGTACGAAATTTCAGAATAATCCTGTTTTCTTCTGGTAAATTTTAACTTATCTATTGGATAGCTATCCACTTCACTATCCACGCTTCCTGCAACGCGTTTTTATCCAATGGATAACTATCCAGATTTATCCGTTGGATAGGACTTATCCGTTGGATAAGTTATCCATCTTTCGAACAACCGGCCCCAGTTCCATACCTATACTTTTGTACGTGTGAAACTTTTCGCTTGATTTTCTTTAATTGTGAGAATCCGACCGTGCAGCAAACATTGAAATAAAGCGATAACACTAAACTTGATTGTGATAGCCCTGAGTATATACCGCTATAATAGCTTTGTTCCTCATAATGATATGCTGGATTCCTCGTCCAGGTATAACTTCTAAAACACGCCTTATTTTTACTTGTATTCCAATGCACCTACAGTACTGCTCAGAAGTAACCTAATGTGACGAACGCGTTCAGAATGCGTTCCCGAACGCGTTCAGAACGCGTTCTCGAACGCGTTCCGAACGCGTTCCCGAACGCGTTCCGAACGCGTTCCCGAACGCGTTCCGAACGCGTTCCAGTGTTTTCACTTAGACGCTTCGTGTGCCTTCGGAAATTCCGAATAAATTATCGAACAGCTAGTCAATATGCTTATGCTACGGTTCGTTAATTCCGGTTTTAGTATGCGGGACAAGCGCTATTTTATTTCGCGTAAAAATAAGCAAGTGTGTGACTTGTGTATCTCATTCGAAAATGATACTAATATGTATGTAGCATCTTGAGAAATTTGGACTTGATGGCCTTAGGATATGCTATGCTTAACCAAAGCCAGTATTTGACAGGGAAAACGCGGTTAAAATTAGCTAGATGACTCTTATCGCCGTCTTTGTTCAAAGAAACTTTCGGTAGTTAATAAACCATTGTTTTTAGTTTTCAGTTAGTATACATTTAAACAGTGTATACAGTAGTCACGGTAATTACCGTATTTCGAATTTTATTCATATCATACTGTGCCGTACATGTAAAACAATTGAGGTTTTGATATTGTGAAACGAAGATCTGAATTATAATGATCGACCCGTGCTCTCAGCTAAGCTATTTCAGTTAACAATTGCATGTTTGTTCATACCTGCACTTCATTCCTTGTCGGTGACAACACAGCAGCATTCAAACTGTATCGAAGTCCATTTTTGTATTTTGTGAATGAATTTTTTTTTGTATTTTGTGAATGAATTTTCTTTTAACTCACGGGATGTTAACTCGTCATTTTCTTTCATTTTTTCATCTATAAAATTGCCATGCTCCTCGCTTAGTTTCGGCTTTCGACCACTCCGAGCACCGTCCACGAGGCTACCCGTCTTTCGATATCGCGAGAGAAACAGAGAAATAGCCGACGTTGAGGTTTTAATTCCTTCCTCAAGAAGAATTTCTTGTATTTTTTTGTGTGTATTTCCAGTGGATTTTAAATAAATAACCCTTTTTCTAGCGTACACTGAGAGCTTCGCCATTTATAAAGCATAGATTAAACCACAGTGTGATTAAACTAAATCGGGAATATCCGGGTATTGACGACAAGATCCGGAGTCGATAGCCGATGAATATCGAATGCGTGCTGGAACGCGTTCCGGACGCATTCGAGGACGCGTTCGGAACGCGTTCTGGAACGCGATTGAAACGCGTTCTGGAACGCGTTTGGAACGCGTTCTGGAACGCGTTCGGAACGCGTCCTCGAACGCGTCCGGAACGCGTTCGGGAACGCGTTCGGAACGCGTTTTTGATTAGGTTATTTCTGAGCAGTACTGTAAGTTAGTAAAAAACCTGACAAACCCGCTGGTAGGGTGTAAAGAATTTATTTCTAAATCAAAAACTCGCTCTTACATAAGCCACTTATTGAAAAATTTTCGCTATATATTTCAGTCAGATGGATCTCTCAGTCATTTCTCATTCCTTAATGAACAAATAGTATTTCAGTGAATTGCTAGAACATACCTGAAAAACAGCTATAAACTTCAATTCTCAAAGATATGTTGCATACCATGTCTTTGGATGAATGCGGATGTAAAGCGCGGTTACAGTTGGTGATAGGACATTTTCCACCAGCGAGTCTCTAATGAAATGAATAATTTGTTAAACAATTAATCTTAATCACACATTAAAAGTTATATATGACCGCATGGAAATGATGTGATGCATATAACGTGACAGGGCAATCTGTAGAAGCCTTGCTTATTAATCCAGCTAACCCTGACTAGTCCATTTATTTTGTAATGATCGAATTTTTGCCCGTCGGAACTACAGGACACAGAATAGGTCTTCACTCACTAATTATAATCACGACGACTTTGAGTGAAATCGCTCCGACAAACATCTTTCTTGCCAAATGCATTTGGTCCTGGTTATTTTTCCGTGCAGACCAGGAAGCTGCCTCATTTAAGCGACCATGTCCTGTCGACTTATCCGCATTCCCAACACTTGTTGCTATTATCTGGGATGTTATGTGTCTTCAGTACGTGGGCCAATAATTAGTATCAATTATCTTCTGGCACCAAAACACCATCGAACAAGAATCAACAAAAATGAAATGATAATGCATATAATTTTGCCATACACGGCTCCTCCAGGATTGAAACCAGTCGAGGTACAGCGTTATTTCCATTGATTTTGTGAAATCTTTACTTGGGGCTTAACATCGAATTTTATCACATTCCTATATAGGGGAATTACTGAATAAAAAAATAATGTCCAACAGTCCTAATATGACATAATTAAACTGAACATATACCATGTAGCCTGCAATATTTACCTTGCTTGGTATGTCAGTCCATCAAATCCATGTATGGCATAGCGATGGATGGAGGTGTAGTCAGTGATAAGAGAAAGGTAATAATTGTTAGCAACTCCTGGGTTGCCATACTTTATTTGATCTAAAATTGAAACACAAGGAACAAGTAAATTATTATATTATTGTCCAGGGTTGTGAGGCTATCAGCATTGTGATATCCCAGGTTCATGCGTACCGCTACCATGGGACAACATTCCTTAGCCAACAAATAGTATTTCAGTGAATTGCCAGAACATACCTGAAGAACCGCATAAACTTCAATTCTCAAAGATATTTTGCCGTACCAATTCGACTCTATATGCCATAGAATCTACAATTGAGATTACAAAAACATAACTATCACACAATTGAAACTATAATTGTATATGAATCACAAGGGCCTATACAGTATAGTAACAGCATGTATTTTTGACTTCTATAACACAAGAATATACAGAACAAAATGCAGGTTGTTTTCTTTCATATTCACATAATACCCCCACCCCTGACAGTTACATATATATTAGTAAATGCAATTACATAATAGGAAAGGGAGAAAAAAAATCTATTTTTTATAACACCAGTGAAATATTGTGTACGCATAATACTTAGCGCTATGACCCATGCTGTCATGCTTCCATCACCAGATATCATGAAATCATCTTGGTTTTTTAATGTTGAAATTAATCCGTTTAATTTAAAAAGCACAAAAATACCACCAAAATATAGCTCGAAAATTTCTAATCAAGAAATTAATCAATATTGCTGTTAACCTGACACTGCAGTGCAGCTCTAAAAATCATATCAAATTACACAGGATTACAAAATGGAAATATAACTCGCCTTTGGAATTTCGTTATTTTCTTCGTTATTTTTTATCCTGTCGTCTTTTAACCGTTACATATAAACTGTAAAGGCATTAGTTATCTTTTCTGATAGGATTTAAGTCAGGATGGGCAGAAAAACTCGAAAAATATAGATTTTTTTATTTGTTATTGTGTATAGCGGGCGGTGCTCAGCTGCATGCACAAGTGGTTGTCGCGTGAGGTTAGAGGTGTCAAAAACGTAATGTTGCCTACCCCGTGGGGGTAAAATAAGCCCAGAAATCGATTTCTGGGTAAAATTGTCCCTAAAGGTCATAATTGTCATATTTTCGCTAATATGGTGATAATTATATGTACATTTTCGGGTTTCCGTTTGTAAACACATTAGTTGGAAATATCACTACAAATCGCCAAAGCAACTGTATTTCGAGTAAAATATATGAAAATATTGATCCCAATGTAAGCTACAAATATTTGGAGGTTTTTAGGCGAGATTTTTGGAAGGCTTTGCGTATTTTTGCTTCTCTAACATTCAATTTAAAAAGTACAAGTTCTGCAATAAATATCTTGGCTTATAGGAAAGCTTTTGAAATGAACTAAAGTTATACAAATAGGTAAATGTTTTTTCTTTAAGATAATACAATTTCTAGTTGAATTGATAAAACACTTCCAGATAAAACCGAAATTATCTGTGTGCGCCGTTTACGACCGGACAGCAATGAGTTTAGTGGTCTCATATTTATTAAAATGGGTGAAGTATTCGCAGAGTAATCACAAGTTTAAATGAGCTTACCACTTTGAAATATCCTCTGATCGGACGTCTAACTGAGAGGATCCCTTAAACATCGAGAATACTTCATTAACAAGTGCCGCATTCTGTCCTGTTTGAGAAGTTACAAGAACTTCATCTTGGGTATTGGTTACTCTTTGCTCCGTTGGAAGTTCCATTCTGTTGTATGAGGACAACACTTGTAGTTGGTGTGATGAAAGGATGCAGATTGTCCGTTGGATGTTGTGCTTTTGTATTTGAGACGGACCACATTAGATATCAGCGTGAAATTGACACATTCATGGGATTCGAACCCATGAACTCCTAAAAAGGAGTATCCACAAAATGTGTTCTTTGTGTGGCCAGGAAAAAGAGAGAGCTACAGGGCTTCTCCCAAACCGACTGGCAGACAATACGAAACGTAGAGGACAAGACAGTACAACACAACACAACACAAAACACACAACCGACGACACAACATCCAACAACCCACAACCCACTAACTCTGTAGCTGAAACGACAAAAAATATGGTGAGTTGTTCCTAGAAAATTAAGCATCACAATTAGCATGAAGGCAATTGCTGGCTGGGGTTTAACTGACGGCATGGATATGGGGTGGCTTCTTAGGGTTGGATACTGAAACTAAACTACGATCGTCTTTGTCTGAAACACACAAAAAAAAATTATTAGTAGCTCCCTAGAAAACGAAAAGCAAAACACAGTTAGACAAGCAGTGAGCCGTGTTTCCAGATACGGGGACAGAGATTCTTAGCTAACCGCGGGGCCACGGGGTCTACTTCTATTTAAAAAATTAATTATACATACCTTGATCCTACCTAAAGAAAGAACTCACTTACCTGAGAAAAACGGTCGCAGACGGCTCTGTTTTATAGCCTGTAGGCTCTTGCATAATTCAGCAAAATTAAGACAACTTGATTGGTTATTTCTGTACACAGGTCAATTTGTCATTGGTCAATTTTTGTACTCCACGATTGGTTCAATAAAAACCAATCAGATTGGTTAATCTATATTCAAAATTTGATACCGTTTCTTTGATATTTGCAAGGTGATTGCACAACAAATGTTCGATTTCACACGTTTTGGAGCATATTCCAAGCCAATGTATCACAGTATGAGTGTATTTGTTCGATTATTTCTCTCATGAAGTTCACAAGAAATTACAGTTCAATCATTATTAAAAGGCTTTATTCCCCTACCAGCTTTAGAACCCCATCGAACAGGAAAGTCGGAATTTAAAAGGCAAGTAAATCTTTCACACTGTTGTAGCACTTGAATTCTGTGGTACATTTAACTACTGAACCTTTCAGAATATTGTAGAATCGGGCATGGCATGGAATAATAGTAAATATAGCAAACTGACAAATTCGCAAATGTAGTAAATTTCAAGGCTAAATATTGCAAATTCCAGTGGAAATACGGCGTTTTACCGCCATGCATACATAGCTATTCACAGCTACGATATTCACGTGTTGTATATATTCAATATTACACATCAAAGCGGCCTAATTCTTTGGATATTGCCCAAATGCAAACGAAAACCGGTTGCAGTGGTTTAGCTCACATATTCAGGATTATTTTGATATCCTTAGCGTCAAAATCAAGCCTTTAGAAGATTTTTGCCCATTTTTTATATAAACATACCTGATGATATGAATTATCGCATCACCGGCAATAATATTTCACAATAATAAAAATTTCGGGCCAAAAGCCGAAAATCTGACCTAGGTCCGATTCGAGCTTGCCTTAAGCACGTGATTAGCAATGATTATCGCTTAGAACTTATAAATGCTCTTTCTTTGATTTTTTGCACATACTACACCAAGAATTACTCAGAATTAAAACAGAATGATAACATGTCAAATTCTAGACATTTTGAAGACAACAGAGACCAAAAAAGCGAAAAAATATGGAATTTCCAAATATATTTTGCAATGGGTGAGTAATTTCAGATAACAAAGCAAGCTATTATTTAATTCTTATTTTCACGTATAATACAAATGCAGGTTATAACTATATGCTGGTTGGAATATACTATTCAAAGAATCGTTTCAACCGCTATCGTTTACTGGTATTCCGGGGTCTTTAGCCCAAATACTTGCTGAGATATTTAATGTTTTTCTTCTGTGCGACAATATTGTCAGGAGTAATAGCCTAATAGGGACCAGACGGGAATTAGATATTATAGTACTTGTATATAATAATTAAAGGAAAAAAATATTCCCTGTGATATATCTTCATAGGAAAAAGTATCAAAACGGATTATTTTCAACATTGAAAAACCAAGATTATCTGATGATGTCTGGTGATGGCATGCATGACAGCATGGTTCTTAGTGCCAACTACTTCGCAAAGCCACGTGTTATGCCTACACCATATTTTTCTGTACAGTTCCATCATTCATTTTACACTGATGTTATTATAATTTTTTTTTATTCTCCCTTTCCTATTATGTAATTGCAGAACGAATATTCAATATATTAGTGTACCACATAAAAACTCATTATGACAATGGCTATCGGACGTATAGTGCATCGGAAATACGGCTTTCGGTAAGGCAAATTCAATTTTATTTCTCGCGATGTTTCTAT